AAAGATCATCGCCAAAGGCCCTGTGATCTCTTCCCTCACTTTCCATAGAATCCTTGGATAAATCCCATCAGGCCTGGGGGACTTATCTATCTTCAAGTCCCTCAAAATTCCTCGTACATCTTCCTTCCTAAGATCGACCTCCTCTAGCCTACCAGCCTGTTTCACACTGTCCTCCTCTACAACTAGGTCCCTCTCAGTTGTGAAAACTGAAGAAAAATATTCATTAAGGACCTCTCCTATCTCTTTAGGCACCGTGCACAAATTCCCTTTCCAATCCTTGATCGATCCTACCCTTTCTCTGGTCATTCTCTTATTCCTCATGTACGTGTAAAAAGCCTTGGAGTTTTCCTTGATCCTATCTGCCAAGGTTTTCTCATGCCCCCTTATTTCTGTCCTGAGCCCTTTCTTGAGCTCCTTCCTGGGTAACTTGTACCCCTCTAGAGCCTTTTCTGTTCCTTGTTTCCTAAACCTTATATAAGCATCCTTCTTCCTCTTAACCAGTCGTTCGACCTCTCTTGAGAACCAAGGTTCCCTCACTCGACCGCGTCTTCCCTGCCTGCTAGGGACAAACATATCGAGCACACGCAGTATGCATTCCTTAAACAATCTCCACATTTCAATAGTGCTCTTCCCTGACAGCATCTGTTCCCATTTTATGTTACCCAGTTCTTGCCTAACAGAATTATAATTACCCTTCCCCAATTGTAAACCTTATCCTGCTGTATGTACCTATCATTTTCCATGACTATTGTAAAAGTAACAGTTATGATCGCTTTTAAGTTAAGTTCTGTCCTGAATAATTTCACATTTGCAGGAGGAGATTTTCTGTCCCAGATTGATAACCTTCTGCTGTTCCAAGTCGGGCTTTCTTAACCGTTGACTTTGTGACGTCTAGAATGTAAGTGGTCGAGGAGGGTGCGGAGATTTTGTTTGTGTTGTTCCGCTGTGGGGGAGGCCACCAGGATGTCGTCAACATATTGGATAATAGTAGAGCCCATAGGAGGGAGCTCCCGCAGACTTTGCTGTAGACATGTGAAACAGTTGGACTGCTGTGAAAACTCTGGGCCAGGCATGTCCAGGTGAATTGCTGGTGCTGAATAGTAAAGGCAAACCAGGGCTGTACCTTGGGCGAGGGGAACTGACCAAAAATTATTTGCCATTTCGATAACGGAGAAAAATTTGTGGTCCGGTGAGAGGCCATTAAAAATGGTGGAGGGGTCAGCCACAAGTGGAGCTTTGATTTCTATGTTGATCAGCTTTACAGTAGTTGACAGTCAATCACCAGGAGCTGTCGGGTTTCTTAATGGGCCAAACGGGGCTATTAGATGAGCTGTGTGGGTTTTGACAAGGACCCCTTGCTGTTCCAGCTGTTGGATGACTGGGAGAACACCAGCAATAGCTGTTGGGCTGATAGGGTATTGCTTGGTGTGAGGGGAGCGACCCCTGCAAAGGTAATGGGGCATCTGCAAAACGCCACAGTCATTCTTAGATTTAGCCCAGATGGGGTGATCGTGCCATTCTGCAAGGGACAGTTGTCGGATGGACCAGATAACGCAGCCATTGTTAAAACTGATGGATGAGTTTATCCATGTAAGGACACCCTTCCTAGGCAGGCCTGTTGGACTCAGCTGACCCACAATGGGGTAACAATTTCATAACGGCCCAGTCTGACTGGGACAGGTACAGTCTTTGACATGCAGAGTCTGTCACTGCCAGTGCCAACAGCCATTCTAATCTCTCCATCCAAAGGTAAATGAGGTGCTTCAGTCAAAGAGACACATCTCAATTCACGAGACAACAAGGTGCAGGGCTGGATGAACACAGCAGGCCAAGCAGCATCATAGGAGCAGAGAGGCTGACGTTTCGGGTCGAGACCCTTCATCAGAAAAAGCCATGTCAATTGTCAATTCACCCTGTGTCTCGGAGACAATCAATTCTCTATTGCCCTTTTCTGAAGAAGGGTCTAGGCCCGAAACGTCAGCTTTCCTGCTCCTCTGCTGCTTGGCCTGCTGTGTTCATCCAGCTCTACACCTTGTTATCTCAGATTCTCCAGCATCTGCAGTTCCTACTATCTCTGATAGCAGCCATCATTTTGTTTTTCTAAGACTGCACACAGATGGACCAGGGTGGGGCTCTAGCTTTTTGTGACATCCATCAGTTGTTTTAGCTGATCACTGGAGCAGTCTTCAAGGTGCTCCAGCAACGTCAACTGATCCTTCAATGTCAGGGAATTATAACTGGAGTGTTTTTGGACAGTGACACTCCCCTTTGGACGTCTTGCCTTCTGTCTGCAATTTGTCCCCCAGTGGCCATAACGGCCGCATTTAAAGCAGCATCCAGGGTATTTATCAGGATTATTCTCAGGCTTAGGGGAGAGTGCTGCCACTTGCGTAACACGCAATTTGCATTCCATATCCCTTTCCAAGCAACTGGCTTTGTTAATCAAGAAGGCTAAATCATATCTGGACTCATATACTCCCAGTCTCAAGGTTGTAGTTTAAGCGTTTTGGCAAGTTTGGGTTTCAAGGCTGCTTTGAGGGGACAATGGGCTTGCCCTCAGGCAGACAGTCACGGAAGGCTTCCCATCCCATTATCCAACTCTTGGCCATTTTGTCCCAGCCTGTCCTTTACCTTTTTAAGAAGTCTTGCTCCAGCAGTGGAGCCTACCATGGCTGTAAGAATTTGGACCCCATCTAATGGATGGAGATAGTAAGTGTTTTAGAGTTTCTCCAATCGTGACCAGGTCTTGTGTCCTCTCTTTCTCGGTGGCAGTTCTTTACACCATCATTCGACCAATTTGGGGTTGGGTGGTTCATGGAGAGCCCATTTCCTAAAAATCATACTGGGTTTTGCCTGTTGGTTTGCCATCTGCATCAATACAAGTTTCCTTACAGCCTTTAGTCTGCTCATATCAAGCCGGTCACGTCCTCTTCGGAGTTGGACTCTGAAAGGGGACCTAATGGGGTGCTGGGTCCGCTTGGGGAACGATTATAGGGTGGAGGTCTGCAAATAAGTCCAGAATATGGTCCTCCACCTGATTTAAGGTGTTCAATTTCCTTTTGTGTTTTTGTCAGTTCTTTGGTAGTTTTTAATTCACTACAGACATTGACCAATTGATCTCTAAGGCTGTTATTTTCTCTATCATGATTTAATTTATTGATGATTTCCTGTCTTTGTTGAATGATACATGGGGACAAAGGGATTCATTTTTTTTTATCCATGAGTCGGGTTGTTTGTCCCCTGACTCATTTTATATCGTCCAGAGACCCATTGGTTCCATGGAGGTTTCATATTTCTTTGAGATTTCCTTTTAAGGTTGAAGAGAGGTTGAATTGTTATTTGATATATTCCTTTAGTTTCTGTAAAAGCTCCCTTTCAATATGTCTACCAGTGCTTCCACGCCTTTTACTGTTGTTAGTAGTTTCTCAGCTGTTATTACCACTGTTTTCTGTGACTCGGCTATGAACTCCGATTATTTCTATCAGATTACCGATAGGGTAATTCCCTTTAAGTAGAGTTCACTGGGAATAGATTTGTATTCTATTTCTGATCACGTTGGACGGGACTTTCCAAAGAAAGGGAAAAAAGGGTCTGGCCTTCAAGCCTGGACTTTTAGAAGAGGACTTCTTACTTCAATGTAGAGTGAAGCACGACTGTGGAAAGCGGACGCGTTTCTGTGATCCTGATGACTACACCAAGTTGTTGGGGTTCTTCTTGTCACGCAAACCAGAGTGAGAGACAGAGACACGGTAAAATGGCCTTCAGTTGTCTTTATTCAGAGAACTTGCTGTTATGTCTTTGAGCGTAGGCTATTGCAGTGAGTAGACGTGGCCTTCTTATAGAATATGGAACAGATACTTGTGTATGCAGCATTCTTAGTCATCGGTTGCTTAATATGATCAACAGATATCTTTTTTACAAAGTATTGAGCTTATTGTAGTTCTCTTAGACAGTTAGCATCTGTCTCCCTGACATGTTTTCTGTTTGGTTTTTGCTCTATTGGGACAAGTACTTTGACCTGTAAAGCACTCAAAGCTGACCTTTGTAGTTACCTGTGATTGTTCAGTGAAGTGGTTTACATCATGTGAGACTAATCTGCAGATACCTCTCGTTAAAGGCTGAAGTTAAAAAGTCACAAAGGTAATCAGTTTCCCCTCTATGATGCCAAACTACTATTGTTGCCCTGTGAGTAATCATTAAAGACTTTAACTCTGACCTTATTAAATCCACTTTAACCCTTTCCTGCTTTGTTGGATTTCACTGAACCCCACAGAGATGACATTGTTTTATCTGCACTTGATACAATCTCTAGTCTACTACAATCGCTGCTCACAATGTGGTCTCTGCCACATAGGGGAAATGAAGCATAGACTGGGTGACCACTTTGCAGAACACCCATGTTCTGTCTGCAGAGGGAAAAAAATGATCCTGAACTTCCAGTTGCCTGCCATTTGCTCTCTGGTCAACATCTGTCTCAGGCTTGCTGTAGTGTTTTAGCGCAGCTCAATGCAAGCTGGAAGAACAGTGCCTCTCTTTCTATTAGGGAACTTTACAGCCTTCTGGATTCTATGGAGTTCAACAGTTTTACAGCTTGAGGTACCTTCTCCATGTCCTTACCCCAATCCTCTCACACCAGGCCTTGTTCCTGTATGGTCTGCTATTACACACAACCCATTGTTAGCTATTAATTTATCCCCCCGTTAGCTATTCATTTTCCTAGGCTGACCCACTTCGTTGTCTGACCAACTGTTCTTCTCTCTCTTTTTGGGCTGTATTTCCATGTTTCCTCCTTACCCCTCCCCTTACCCTATCTTCTGCATAAGAACCAACTTTTTCCTAGCTACCATCAATATGGAAGAGTCACTGGACCCAAACCATTAAATTTTGATTTCTATCCACATCCACTGCCAGACCTAAGCTTTTTCCAGCAAATTCTGTTTTTGTTTGATATGTTGTGATTTGCTTAAATAAATGCTGATTGGAACCTGCTGCTGTTCCAGACCAGTCATGTTATGCTGAGTGACCGAGGCGCATCGCGATTTGCTAAAACAGTGGGGTTTCCAGAAGTCCCAATGGAGTCTTTGATTACAGAACGTTCGAGGAAACGGTGGCAGCAAAACCTCCAAGCAGCTTCCTCCCCGGTGGATTCACAGATGTAAATGCATTTAATTCAAACATACTTTGTTTATTAACCTATATTTTGGACAGAATCCTGCGTAACTACTTTTATTGACTTCAGTTTCATTATGGTTATGGGGTTTTAGTATGGGCTCGTTTAATATCAATTAGCCTTTTACAATATGGCACTTGTTTGAATCGAATTCCCTACTACCTTTTCTGTTTTAGTGTAGTATGTGGGGCTGGAGTTTAGTATGATTTTCTGTATGCCTGTTTCTGCAGAATCTGAGCAGAAATGTATAAAGAAGCAGTAGCCTGGGTTGTGGCCAAAACTACTTTTGCACTTGGATGTTTTACATTGGCCCTCCATTTGCCTAAAGCAGTCACATTCACAACAGTATTTATCACATTGTGCAGGAATCCTCAGGAATCACCCAGTCATGTGATAGAGTTAATCACCTATGCTTGCAGTAGCCAGCAGTCAATTAAGTTTGCTATTGCTACGTTCAAGTTTAGTCAGCTCCAGATTTGAGTTGATTGCTGTTCACAGGCCTGTGTAAGAAGGGCAGATCAACGTAGTCCATCGAAGCTAATTGAAATGAAAGGTCAGGAGCAGTAAATCAATACAAAAAAGAGCAGTTTCAATCAATGTTTTATTTACTGACATTGTCTTCGCAGTGTTGGAGAATATCCTATTCGAACCATGAATTGATTCCTGTTATGCTGCTTAATTGTGCTTACTTATGAAAGATTTTATGTTTGATCTTATGTTACCAAGGCTGTGCAGAAACTTGAGCATAACTTCAGTACACGTTGCGCTAATTTCATGCCCTGAAGTTTGATTTCAGCTGCTGAAATATAATTATTGGAGCACTAACACTTGCTTCAGTTCAAGTGGACAAGTAAAAGTCATTTTAACCTAGCTGCCATGCTTAATTGGTTAAAATAACTAATGCTGAAGGGAGCTGCTCTGATAGTTTATATGGTATGATTTCTAATCTCTTAAGCTTCTCCTTTGGCTTACGTAGTGATCATGGGACAATTGGTGCTGTTGCATTAGACTGTTTTGGGAACGTGGCCTGTGCCACCTCCACTGGAGGCCTAACCAACACCTTAATTGGCCGGATTGGTGATACCCCCTGCATAGGTAAGCAATTCTTTTGTTTCTTGCATGCCGTTCTAACTTTTCTGCCTTCATATGCTGTATACATGCAGTCACAGAGTAAGAGAAAACAACTTCCATTCACTTGAGGGTGGGGATAAGGGGAAGCTGGGGGGGCTTGAGGAGGAGTGGGGGAGATGTGGATGTCAAGGAGCTGGTGGAAGCAGAGGAAATTGAAGGGTTGGTGAATGGGAGAAGCATAGGGAATGGGGCTGAATTCTGTCTGGGGGAAAAGGTAAATAAAGATTGAGGAGAGGGACACTTTGAGGTAAGTATTATGTGGAACCAAACTACCTTTTATCAACTATCATTTTTCTATCAAATACATCCACTGGTCGTTCATCCTGCTCTCAGTGGAACCAGTTTCTTTTTCCATAAATAGTTTTGAACACCTCAATCAAATCTTTGCTTCACCTAGTCTGCCGTAAGACGAATATTCCCAGCTTCTCTTATCTCCAACTATTCTTTTGTAGTCCTTTATCCTCAATACCATTTCAGTAAATCCTCTTGTGCTTTGCCGTTCTTCCTAAATTGTTATGCAGCAGTGAGTAGAGTTCTTTGACTGAGACCTAACCAAGATTTTTCCAAATCTGGAGAAAATCTTCGTTTTGTTCTATTCTTGCATCTGTTCACTCCATCATAAGCAATTTGCTGATGACCATACAATGTTAAGCACCATTTGCAGCTCCTCCTTGTCCAAATGCAGCAAGACTTGGTCAATATCCAGATTCGGGCTGGCAAGTGGCAAGTAAAATTGGTGCCACATGTGTCAGGCAGTGACCATCACTGACAAGTGGGAATCTAACCATCGTCCCTTGACATCACTATCACTGGTCCTCTTACTGTCAACATCCTGGGGTTTACTATGGACTAGAAACTGAACTGGACTAGCCATATAAATATGGCTACAAAGGCAGAATAGGAATCTTGCAGTCAGTAACTTGCTTCCTGAATCCTCAAAGCCAGTATCTTCAAGGCTGAATTCAGGAGTGTGATGGAATACTGCACGCTGCTCTGGATCAGTGCAGCTCAAACAACACCAAAGAAACTTGACATTGTCCAAGACCAAGCAGCCTGCTTGATTGGCACTACATCCACAAACATTCACTCCAACCACCTCCGATGCTCAGTAGCAGCAGTGTGAACTATCTACAAGATGCACAGCAGAAATTCATGAAGGCTCCTTAAACAGCAGTTTCCAAACTCATGATCACTTCTTTCTAGAAGGATAAGAGCAACTGATACATGCAAGCAGCATGGTGCCTCAGTGGTTAGCATTGCTGCCTCTCAGCGCTAAGGACCTGGGTTCAATTCTAGCCTCTGGTGATTGTGTGTGTGTATGGAGTTTGCATATTCTCCATGTGTCTGCATGGGTTTCCTCTCACAGTCCAAAGATGTTTAGTCTAGGTGAATTGGCCATGGGAAGTGCATTGTAACAGGGATCAGGTATGGGGTTGGGTCTGGGTGGGTTTCTCTTCGATGGGTTGGTGTGGACTCGAAGGTCCGAATGGCATGTTTCCACACCATAGGGATTCTATGATTCAAGTCACTTATCCTGTTTTGGAAATATCATAGTGTTCCCTCGTTATCGCTGGGTCAAAATCCTGGAATTCCCCCTCTAATGGCCTTGTAGGTGCAGCTGCAGTCTGTGTTGGAGATAGACATGTGTTACAAGGCATCTCACCATCTTCTCAAAAGCAACTAGGGAGTAAATGCTCTCCCAGCCAATGACACCTAGATGCTATGAATAAATGAAACAAAACTTGAAACGTCAAGTATCCCGTATTTCTTTTAGAACAGTCTTTGTCTTGCCTTCGAAGACATTTTTTGTGGAACTGACATATCATCTTTCCTTCCCCTTCCCCACCTTCAAATCGTACCATTTATTTTTGTACCATTCATACAGTGTAAGAAATAGGAGCAGGAGGAGCCTGTTCAGCCCTTTGGATCCACACTGTAGGGTTCTATGGATTACATGCTCAGCCTACTTAATCCTTAGTCGTTGGTCAATCCCTCCACCCTGGAAATTTTGTTTCCAGGTCCATGGTTGCATTCTTGTCGGTCTTCCCACCAAAATGTACATATTTGACTATACTAGGTTTAATGGGGTAGTTTCACCAGCCTGTCTTTGACCATGTGTCTCTCCATTTTTGTTAGTGTCTCTGACTGTCTGTCAACATTAGTCTTTCTCTGACTGCTCTTCTCTCAATTTCACCAGTCTGTCTCTGACCATGTCTGTAAATTTCACTAGCCTGTAAAATTTGTTCCAGTTCTGTTCACTGAATACAGCAAATAATCTGGAATTATCTTAGCCATATCACTGAATATCATACATGTTTATCTTTTGATCCACATTTTTAAGCCCATTCAGAATCCCCTTGCACAGCAGATGATGACGTCCGGCCTCCCGGTCAGAGGCAAAAGCAAAATTGTGCAGATCCTGTAAATGATATAATTCCTACAGTGTGGAAAGAGACCGTTCAGCCCATCAAGTCTGCACCAACCCTCCAAAGATGATCCGACACATTCCTGTAACCCCGCATTTACCATGATCAATCAATCGTGCACATCTTGGGACTGTGGAACGAAACTGGAGCACCTGACACAAATCTAAGTCCCATGCGCTGAGGCAAAAGGACTAACCACTGAGCCACTGTGCTGCCTAAATCTAAAATAATCAAATACGCCAGCATGTGTGGAGGCAGAGGCAGAATTTATTACTGTTCATGATCTTTCTTCAGAATTACATTTCTGTCTCTAGAGATGTGGTTTGATATATTCGCAGACTGTGGTTTGAACTCTAACTGTATGTGAAAGGGAACAGCTCAGAGCTGTTCTCAGTCAGGATTCTCACTTGGAATTTGGAGTTGCTGGTGTTGGACTGGGGTGGACAAGATCAGAAATCACTAAACCAGGTTATAGTCCATCAGGTTTATTCGAAAACACAAGTTTTCGGAGCCTCGCTGCTCCTCCAGGTGTTAGTGAGGTGGTATCGGATGCAGAATTCATAAGTAAAAGATCAAAGGGTCACACCACTGATGATGCATTAAACAAACCTAAAATGCTGTTAAATCTTTAATCGCAGATTTTATTTAATTGATTTTAATTGATTAATACATATATGTAAATTCCCTAAATACTTTCAAGTCGCTGCCCTGAGAGAATTAAAGGTTTTACCAGTGTAAAGAAGGTGACATTTCAGGTCAGACAATGCATGTTAGGTGTAAGGCCTTGTTTAGAATCGGTTTGTATTTTGGTTTGGAGTCAGACTGTTTTATTTCTAAAGTAGGAATTTATAAAACACCACGTTGTCTATAAATTGTGCCTTTTGAACAAAATAGAATGTATCTGTAAATACAAGTTCACCCCATTTTGTGTATGTGCGTATGCACGCATGGTGAGGGAGTGTATTTCAGAGGGCATAACTGCTTTGTGATTCGGTGCATTGGTACGTTTTGCAGATTGCTGAACCATTCAGGATCAGATGAGTTGCAGAAACTGTTGGTGTGGTGTTATTGTATGTCTTGCGCATAGCAAACAGATCAACTCCTCCACCCTCCTGGTCATCTCTCAATGATTAATTCATGGAATTTCTTTTAATGAAGTATTTGAGACCTTATGCTACCAGTTTTATATTGTAATTTTTTTCTGCAGGAAGTGGAAGCTATGCTGATAACCTGAGTGGTGCAGTCTCTGCCACAGGAAAAGGAGAGGCAATTATGAAGATTACCCTAGCCAGACTGATTGTTTTTTACCTGGAACAAGGTAGTCCATGTTTTTATACTATCAAGTGATTGACTGCACTGACTCAATACATGACAAGACGCTAACCATGAAATCACATCCTTGGGCTGATTTTAAGATTTTGATCCTTTAAATTGTCAAGATGACAAAAAAGGTCCAGTTGCTCCTTTTCATGTTTTTGATTTGGTTTATTATTCTCACATGTACTGAAATACAGTGAAAAAGTATTGTTTTGTGTGTTGTCCAGGCAAATCATACCTTATGTGTACACCAGGGTAGTGGAACACAATGCAGAATATAGTGTTACAGCTACAGAGAAGGTGCAGAGAAACATTAATTTTGCATATATGAATGTCGGTTCAAAAATCTGTTAACAGCGGGGTAGAAGCTGTCACTCTAGTCTGTGTGCCATTGAAGTCTGGCCACAATATTCCGAATGAGCTCTCAAGTAGTAATAGCGAAATGATGATATTAACTTCATGTTTTTCTACATGGATGATATGTGATCTAAGTGTTTCCATTATTTTCTGTTTAGGCTTTAATGAGACCTCAACTTTACACAGTAAGCTTCTTACTGTGGTTCTAATATTGTACTGAATTCCAGTCCATTCCTGAGCCCTGTTAACTTCAGCTACAACCTGTACACTATGTGCAAGAAATTTTAGTCAATTAACGTTGTTAAATCTTCGTCCCATGTAACAGCAAGCCTGCCCCCACTGCAGCTGTCCTCTGTCTTTTCTTTTAAATTCATTCTCAGGATGAAGGCGTCGTTGGCTAGGTCAGCATTTATTACCCATCCCTAATTGCCCAGAGGGCAGTTAAGAGTCAACCATTTTGCTGTGGATCTAGAGTCACATGTAGTCCAGACCAGGTAAGCATGGCAGTTTCCTTCTGTTAAGGGCATTAGTGAACCAGATGGGTTTTTTCTACCAATCGTCAATGGATTTGTGGTCGTCATTAGACTCTTCATTCCAGACTTTTATTGAATTCCAATTCCACCATCTGCCATGGCAGGATTCGAACCAGAACATCAGTTGGGTTTCTGGATTAATAATCCAGTGATAATTCCACTAGGCCATCACCTCCCCATAATATCTACTATTTGTTTAGCCCTGAGTGAATACAGAAAGACCCCAAGTCAACTTCCTAGTTCTCTGCCAATGTAATTGCAACCTGTTTTTCTCTTCTAGAGCCTATATTGACCGTACAATTTGATATCATCCAGAGGTTTAATTGCTATGCATCTTTGTCCTCCTCCATATCAGTGATGAATATCAGTAAGCAGGAGGGGTCTCTGTCAGAACCATTGCAAAGCTATTGCCTTTAAAATTGCCAAAGCCCCTTATCCAATTTGTGATCTGTGGAACTATCTTCCCCCTTCCATAACTTCTGTGCACAGTGCCTCATGAGCCTTTTATCAAAAGCTTATTGGAAATCCGAGATAGTGATGGCTTGAACCGCCATTAAAGTATCATCTTTAAAACCCTAGATTTGGATTGTTTTCTAGAACTGTTGAGTATCCTGACTAGCCCACAGCATTCCAGATGATCACTTCTAGCATCTCTTTGATACATATTAAATTTCACCATGAAGATAAACTGGCCTCTGGTGTTGTTCTCAAGATTGATTTAAAGTTAATTTTCTGGCAGTAGTGACATCAGAAATATTATAGCACAAATAGGCTGACTTCAAAGTGTCTCCTCTTGAGATCCCCATCATTACAGACAACAGTGTTTCGCTGACCACTGATTGCATTGGTCATTTATAAAGCTATGACGCTTGATGACATCTCAGCTGAAGAACTATAGACGAAGCTGAAGTGAACTTCAGAAATAGCTCCGCCTTTAGCCATGCTGGTGCAATACAATACAGCATCAGCTTCAATCTAACAAAGCGTAAAACGTAGGGCAGATGTTTCCCCTTGAGGGACAATCTAGAACAAGAGGTTATATAAAGGGTGGTAGTTTTAAAACAGATGAGGAATTACTTCTGTCAGAGGATTGTGAATCTCTGGAATTTATTCCAAATGTGGCCTTACCAATGTCTTGTACAGAGTCATGCAGCACATAAACAGACCCTTCGGTCCAACCAGTCCATGCTGGCCATAATCCCAAACTAAACTAGTCCCAACTACCTGTGCGTGGCCCATATCTCTCCAAACGCTACTGTACTTATCTAAATGTCTTTTAAATGTAACAGTATGCACTTCCACTACTTCCTCTGGAGGTTCCTTCCACACGCAAACTGCTATGTTTTTATAAAAAATTCCCCTTGTCCTCTTTTAAAATCTTTCTCCTCTCTCCTTAAAAATATGCATCCTAATCTTGAAATCCCCCACCCTAGGGGAAAAGACATTTTGCAATTCTCTTTATCTACACCCCTCATTCTTTTATAAACCTGTAGAAGGTCAACTGACAATATCCTACATGAAAGTCCCAGCCTCTCATAAGTCAAATTTTCCATTCCTGGCAACATCCTGCAAATCTCTTCTAAACCCTGCCTAGCTTAATATCCTTTCTATAACAGGGAGATCAGAACTGTCCACTGTACACCAATCTTGGTGTCATCTGCAAACTTACTAACCATACCTCCTATATTCACATCCAAGTCATTTATGTAAATGACAAACCAGAGGACCCAGCACACATTCCTGTGTAACACTGGTGGTCATAGCCCTCCAGTCCAAAAAAAACCCTCTACCATCACTGACTCCTGCCGCTAAGCCAATTGGCAAGCTCACTCTGAACCCCATGTGATCTAACTTTACTAATTCGTCTACCATGTGGAACCTCATAAAAAGTCCAAGTAAACAATGCCTTTGTCAATCTTCTGGCATACTTCCTCCAAAAAAAAACTCAATTGGGTTTGTGAGACACTATTTCCCTTGCCCAAAACTATGCTGACTATTGACACTGAACCTTGCCTCTCCAAATGCATATAAATCTAATGTTTTATCACCTGAAAAAAAAAAAGGCCTAATGGTATCATCGGTGGACTGTTAATCCAGAGACCCAGATAATGTTCTGGGGACCAGGGTTCAAATCCTGCCTCGGCAGATGGTAGAATTTGAATTCAATGAAATCTGGAATTATGAATCTACTGATGACCATGAATCCATTGTCAATTGTCGGGAAAAACCCATCTGGTTCACAAATGTCGTTTAGGGAAGGAAATTGCCATCCTTACCTGGTCTACATGTGGCTCCAGACCCACAGCAGTCTGATAGAGGTGTAAGATAGAATGGACAGCCAGAGACTAGGGTGGAGGTATCTATTACGAGGGGGCATAGTTTTAAAATGAGTTTAGGGAGATATAGGGGAGACGTCAGAGGTAGGTTCTTTAGTCAGAGAGTGGTACGGGCGTGGAATGCATTGCCGGAGAGGGTAGTGGAGTCGGCCTCATTAGGGGCATTTAAACGGCTATTAGGCATATGGATGAGGGGTGGAAGTTAGATAGACCTTAGGTTTAGGGTAAAAGTTCGGCGCAACGTTGTGGGCCGAAGGGCCTGTACTGTGCTGTACTATGTTCAATGTGGTTGACGCTTAACTGCCCTCTGGGCAGTTAGGGATGGGCAATAAATGCTGCCTAGCCAGCGACGCCCTCATCCCATGAATGAATTTTTTAAAAAAATTGCCCACAACAGAGTCAGACTCTCACCTGTGGTTCCCAGGCTTCTCCTTGCATCCCTTCATAAGGGCACAACATTAGCCACTCTCCTGTCATTCAGCACCTCACCCATATTGGGTGAAACTATGCCACGTTCTTTGCAGCCTTCAACATGTCATCGATGACAGCGAACATCTCACCAAGATCACCCCTATGCCTCTACTTCTCACCTTCAAATAACCATCAAACCTTAAACAGGCCATCGTCCGCAGCAAACTACCCAGCCTTCAGGACAACATTGACCATGACCCCACACAACCCTGCCATGGCAGCCTCTACAAGACAGGCCTGATCATTGACATGGATACTACTATCACACATGGGATCACCATCCAAATCGTTTATAGAAATGACAAACAACGATGGACCCAGCACTAATCCTTATGGCACACTTGTCCCAGGTCTCCAGTCTGAACAATAATGCTCTACCATCACTGTCACCTGCAGTCAAGCCAATTCTGTATCCATTTGGTTGGGTTCCCTGAGTTCCCATGTGATCTAACCTTACTAACCAGTCTACCATGCCAAACCTTGAAGGTCTTGCTGAAGCCTGTGAAAGGTAGTCTACTGTCTTCATCTTTCTTCTAGGTCGCCTCTTCAAACAATTAAATCAAATTTGTGTGGCATGATTTCCTATGCACAATGCCATGCTGACTATCCCTAATCAATCCTTGCCTTTCCAAATGCATGTAAATCCTGGCTGTCAGAATCCTCTCCAACAACTTATCCAGACTTGCTGTCTGTTGTTTCATGGCTTTTCCTTGGTGCCTTTCCTGAATAATGGCACAATATTAGTCACCCTCTAGTTTTCTGGCACCTTACCTATGGCCGTCGATGATACAAATGCTAGAGGCCTGGCAGTTTCTTCCCTAGCTTGCCACAAAGTTGTGGAATACACTTGATCGGGACCTGGGGATGTATCTATTTTTGTGTTTTCGACCACCAGCAGCACCTCTTCTATAATGTGTACTCTTTTCAAAGAGGTTCCTAGTTTCCATATCTTCCTCCATGGTAAATACTGACAAGAAATATTTGTTTAGGATTTTGCCCATTTCCTGTGGTTCCACATGTAGCTGGCCTTGTTCATGTTTAAATGGCCCTATTCTCTACCTAGTTACTCTTTTGCCCTTTAATAACTTGCAGAATCTTTTTGGATTCTCCTTTACCCTATCTGCCAAAACCATGCATCTTCTTTTGCCTTTTCACTCTCCTGATTTCCCTCTTAAGTTTCCCCCCTACACCTCAAGGGATTCACTTGATCCTTTTCCTTAACCAGAGCCTCAATATCGTTAGTCATCCAGTATTCCCTACTCCTGCCAGCCTTGCCCTTTATGCTAAACAGAATGCTGGCCCTGAACTCTTATTACCTTGCTTTTGAAAGCCTCCCACTTGCCAAACATCCCCTCAGCTCCCCTAATCAACTTTTGAAAGTTTCTGTTGAAGACCATCAAAATTGGCCTTGCCCCAATTTAGAACTTTAACTTGTGAACCAGATCTATCCTTTTCCATAAATATTTTGGTACTAATAGAATTATGATTACTGATTCCCAAGTTCTTCAACGCTAACACCTCACTTGCCCTGCCTTTTGGAGGTTGTTTTGCCTGATCTTTAGTAGGGCTATTACACATTGATTGGGAGTTTTCCTGAACACAGTTCAAACATTTCTCCCTATCCAAGCTTTTAACACTATGGCAGTTCCAGTCTATGTTTGAAAAGTTTACAATCCCCTACTATTATAAGCCTATTATTCTTATAGCTATCTGTGATCTCCCTACATATCTGCTCCTCAATTTTCTGCTGATTATTGGTGGGGCCTATAGTGTAATCTCAAAGTGATCGCTCCCTTCTTATTTTTCAGTTCCACCCATGTACCTTCAATGGCCGATCTCTCAGGAATATCCTGTCATAGTACTGCCATGATATTTTCCCTAATCAAAAGTGCCACCACCCCCTGCTTTTCTTGGCTCCCCTTCTATCCATCCTCTAGCAACTGTACTCCAGAACATTAAGCTGCTAGACTTGTCCATCCCCCAGAAGCATGGTATCCCAGTCCCGTGTTCCTGTCCATTCCGTAAGTTCATTTGCCTTACCTCTCAGGCCTCTTGTGTTGAAATAAATGCAGTTCAATTAATCAGGAAACCTCATTCCTGCGGTGCTCTTGTCTGTTTAACTTCTGTACTAGCATCAATTTTCTCTCTCGCCTCACCACTACGTAGGTACACCCCCCGCCAGCGCAGTTTAAACCCTCCCACGTAGCTCATAAATAGCATGACAATTACAGCTGGTCCGAGACTGAGTACTCTGAAGCAAGTATCTCACCACCTGATAAAAGCAAAATACTGCAGATGCTGGAGATTTAGAATAACAGGAGGTGATGGAGAATTCAACATTTACAGAGAAACAGTTCATGGTTCGAGTCCAGTAATACTCTTAAGAACTTATACTCTTCTGAAGAAGTCATATTGGACTCAAAACATCAACTATCTTTCTCTACACAGA